ATAAGAGACTGATAAGTCATTCAGAAAATGAGGAGAATAAGTTATTGATGCGAAATGAGGTTCTGCAAGCTATTGAATCATGGGCCGTACTTGCTTCTTACAAGCTCATAGAGAACGAGAAGTGTGTGCAGAGTAGCTTTATGTCAGGGGGGATGTTAATAAAATGGTGCCGTTAATCAGAAAAATGTCATGTTTTAAGCTCATATTCCACTTCAACAAAATACAGTTGTTTGAGTTTCATAGGGATTTTTTTTAACATCACCTAATTCTCCACTCAGTCATTTTGAACAAATGATTATCATGTCCATTTCAGTATTTTTGAAAAGCAACTAATTTTCTGCTGCAAGGTTGACATCCTCAGAGGATTATCTGTCTAATGAAAACTCAACTCAAATTAATGTAAGTATGCCTGTCCAAAGCTTACATAAGTGCTGTTCTGCTCCTGTGTAACCACTCTGGATCAGACCACGTTTTTTTGTTTTTGTTAAAGCTTAAAAGTCCAGCTTTTTTTAGTGCATAAATGTTTTCCCAAAGTCTGTAATAAACCCATAGAATTGCAATTTATGTCCAATCAGATGAAACTGGAGTTGGATGATAACAGATTGAGCAGGAAACAAGACCATATGGTCGATCCCAACATAATGGGAAGAATACAGTTAAAGTGTGTGAGCCTCTTTGTTCAGAACATTTTGCCCACAGCACCAGTCACTCTTATTGTTCTTGTCAGTGTGATTACTTTCGACGGGATGATTGCAGTAATATAATTCATAATGTACGAATCGCAAAGGAAACTGTGAGCAAACGATCTGCAAGATAGTCGTCCTTTTCAGTTTGGATGAGCCGGTGTATGAGTCAGCTGTTGTCATTGAGCTCTGTGGTATTAAATTGTCTTGACTTTGCAAAGATGCTGAGCAGGCTTCCTCCAAATTGACTCAATACTAAATGAAGACTGAGGGTTTTTTTTGCTTTTTTTTTTTTTTTTAATGCAAAGGCCTCGCTTCAACTTTTGTCTTTTTAAGCCATTATGGAGGAAAGCTTTGTCGGTATCTCTCCGTGTTGTGATCTGTCTGAAGCTAAGAGCTAAACTCACCTGCTGGTTATTCTTCAAGGCCATGCATGGATCTTATTTTTGCTGTTTTCTAATCATAGTTTTGGTGTGCATACAGTGTGTGGGTATGGGCTAGCTCTCTAAAATGAGCTGCGTAAATTTACAAGGCACTGGCTCGGTGCCCAGCGCTGCCTTGTCGCCCCAGACGTCTTCACTGAACGTTTCACTGGAAGCTTCGCTTTGACCATTGTGGTGGGAGTGACGGCTGCCGCGGTCGTGAATACAACATGACAGATGGTGACTGCGTTAGGTGCATTTCACATCCCCCTCTTCTACTTTTTCTTTTCCTTTTTGCTCTAGACTTAAATGGCAATTGGCATTGGGTTGGGCATATGTTAAGGATTTGAACAAGAACTAAAAGGTTGGTGCAAAAGTCAGAGACCACCATGTGAAGCTTAAATGCTTTTGGTTTTCTGGTTCAGGTATGCTGCAGGTTTGTCTGGCAAACTAAATCAGCTTTTCCTGAGCTGATTTTCTCTCCATGTCCCACATCCCGCTAAGTTTCCTTTGTCTGCAGTCCTTGTCTTTTGACTCTTTGACAGCCCGAAAGTAGCTGAATAGTGAGAGAAGAATGGCTCTTTGTTTCGACCGCTTGCTGTCGCTGTGGATTTGATTGTCTCAGTAGGCAACATGGCCTCAAACATGACTATTCACACACTCACACACACAGTCACCCCTGTGGATGGACATTCCTTTTGGAAGGGCTCCCAGATGGCACTGCAGGTTCTGTGCGGGCTGCGACCATAAGAAGGAGTGATTGACTGTGTTTCTCAAAGGCTGAGCAGCATCACACTGGAGTGTGAAGGTTATAAAACCATAACTCTGTTTTTTTTTTTGTTGTTTGTTTGTTTGTTTGTTTGTTTGTTTTGCTGTTGAGAGTTCAGATTTCTCTGTAACGTCTTCAACAAAAGTTGAAGCTTCACAGAAACATGTATAACTATTGGTTGTTGACTTTGGACGGATTTCATCTGGTACTGAAATGACCGATTAAAAGAGAACAAACTTTTAATTCCAACTTTTTAATTATGATTGATTGCTACTTTTCCAATTATAACATCAGTAATTTGGAAGAGATTGCCTTAGGCTATCGAAACAACAATAGAATAGAATAGACATTGGATTTGCTTTTAATTTCCTGAATACTAGAAGTTAGGGTGTTATACGAGTTCCATATTGTC